AGCAAATGTGAAGTAGAAACGAGAGTAGCTGAAGAAAATACAATAAGTCGCTTCGCCATGTATGGTACTCGGTAGTTTCTCTTCGCCTACTTAAAATTGCCTGTGCGCACGTGTCATATTTCTCGAGGGCGCAACATACACACACATACATATATATATACTCAATCATCGTCGTCCTATGTACACAATAAATATTCGCTGGCTAGTTCGCTTTCTCGCGCGCAAACTCGACGCGCGTGTGCAGACAGCCGAAGCGCAATCAAAATGCAACGCTTCGATTCGCTCGCTCGTGAGAGTCGACGATGCAAATGCAATCCCTCCGCCGAATTCGTCTCTTCGTGATGAGGATTTCAATCTCTGTTTATTTTATTTATGGATTATCGAAGGCCCTTGCGCAAAAACATGCCTCGACTAATAATCTTCGGCATCTTCGAAAGAACGACGTAATAGATATCTCTTCTTACACGAAAACGATGTAAACATTGCGAATCTTGGAAGAAATTTCTTTTTTTCTTCTTGCTCATTTTTTTTCTAACGTCTCGTTGGTATAATCTCTGCTATTCTATCGTATATCGCACGACATGCATGCCTAATATCATCGATAAGAGAAACCGTTAAGTACTTGTGTGTGTGTCCTCCATACTTTGAATTCCATTCGATATTAAATATTGAATCAGATATACGTGTAAAATTTAAGTAATCTGACTTCTCATTAATTTGTAATGCAAGAAAGGGAGAGAGAAAGAGAGAGAGAGAGAGAGAGCAAATATTAAACATCTTTAAGACGAAATTCGATGAATGGGATTCGGAAGGAGTGGGCATAGTTTGCTTCCATTGACACGATGCAAAAGATAGAAAGAATTTCCTCTTGCTTTTCTACGGTGTCTGGTATTGTTTATTTTCAAACGAGACTTCAATAAACATCGAAAAAAAATAACTTTACTTCGGCGCGAGCCATAGCCACGTGTTTCATGCACGTCAACCACCATGTAGGATACGATCGAGGAATTTGAATTTAACGCGATAAACACAAGCTAGAGTTCATTTCATTGGCATTCGTTTTGAAAATAATGCCTGTGGTATTTCACGCTTGAAATGTCTATTTTGAATTTTCTTTTAATACTTTATTTTAGTGATTGGTCATTTAACGATAATCTCTTATCTACAATTCGAAAAATTTCACGATATTAGGATCATTACGATCGTTTAAGTATAATGCAAATCTTACTCGTTGAAAGATCGAAGAATAGTCCATATTTATTTGAATAATTTTATTACTATTCCGATAACTTTCATTACTATTACTATTGCGATTAGTCAAATATTATATACTATTACTAGTATAATCTACTAGTAGATATATAATACTACTTCAAATGTACTAATGTATTTCTGTATTATACTTCATATATAATACTGTATAATGTACTTTAATTATTAAAATAATTTACTTTAATATTATAATGTATATTAATTATTAAAGTAATTTAATTTAATACTTCAGTACTTTAATTATATGAAATTATTTTAATGTACTTTAATACTGTTCAATGTAATCAACGTAATTCAACTTCTATTTACTATTTAAATAAGTATTACTATTTCGATAAAAATTATTCAAATAAATATTAAGTATTATTGAAATCTTGTTCGTTAGAAGATCAAAGAATATTAAATTGTCGTTAACGAACCAATACGATTACACCGAATCACATCCTGATTACAAATTCACGTGAGTTTCATCGTTGGACAATATTGTTTATCGTATAGTTTGTTTGAATCCACATTATACGAGGAATCGTAAGATAATTCTGTGAATGTTGTGAATTCGGTGAAATATACGGCACACTACACGGAAGAGCAAACACGTGTACTACTTGCATAATTCATAAACGCACGTTGTCTTCGCTTGTCTCTGTCATCATGTAAACAGTAGATCTTTTCACGATCTTTAAAAACGTTTATATTATTTAGGTATACATCTTATCTAGAATTTAATTCTAGAGAATATTTGACAACTTATATATATATATATATATATATATATATATATATATATATATATATATATTGTCAAATATTTCTGATAGATTCTTAAGTTATTCATTGTGAGTAAGTTGAGATACATAGGTTTCTACTGTACTATTGAAGCAACATTGAAGTCGATACCCTTTTAACGATGATACCGGTAAAGATCAATTGGTTACAAGGAAGTTATGAGTTAGACTAAATCTAACGGGTCCTATAAAAATTTCATTAAGATAATTATAACACGAACGTTTAATGTATTTTTTCGATCATAAAAATGGAAAATATTGATCGATCGATCAATAAAAATACTTACGCTGCCTTCGATTTCGGCTCTGTCATGATGTAATCCTATTCCTCATCGTCGCGGAGTCGAGGAAGTTTAAAAATTTTTCTTTTTTTATTCTTTTTTTTTTTATGATTCTTTTTTAATCACGGCACCCAATTGAATACATGAAATTAATATAGAGTCTAGAAAATAAAAATTCACGTATCATTAAGGATGGTCTGTCAGTTTTTGTTGATATTTGATTTTATGTTGTCGTAGTTCATGCACAAAAGTAAAAAAAAATTAATTCATTGTTATCACAACACACACGATCACTCTCTGTTTAATAGATTATAGATAAGAAGAAGAAAGGGAAAAAGGAAAAGGACATTTTTACAAAATACAGATATGTGATATTTTTCTTCTTATCTCGTTGTATCTATCCTCGACGTTTCTTTCGAAGTACGTGTGTACTAATGCGCGGTCGCAACGCGACTAGTCCGACGAGTTATACTAATTTCCGCCCACGACATAACTGCGAGAGTCTAGAGTGAGAGAAACGAAGATAGAGACTAGAAGAGACGAGGCAAAGCGCATACGAGAGAGACAAGAAAGAATAAAAGAAAGAGAGAAAGAGGGAGATGGTAAAAACCGAGGTCGATGGGGTGGGGGGAGAGAGATCGTAGGAGAGGAAATCTCTGTCGGTGGAAAGAAAGAAAGGGGTGGGGATGGGGGAAAAAGAAAGGAAGAGAAAAAGAGAAAGAGAACTTGGAGGTGAAGTAGTTTCTCGACGGGTTCTCTCCAACTAGTATTATATATATAGATATATAATTCTTACCTGGACGATCAACCCTACTTCTTCCCAAGTGACCACCATTCCTTTAGTAGGCTGACCGATGCATCTCTGGTAATAACGAAGGAGCAACCAGTTTCTAAATCGTCTACGTGCTTGAATGCAGAGAGATAATATCTTGGATATGTCCATCTTATTCTTTTTTTTACCTGTTCTTTCGAAGAAAAAATATTTTATATTATATCATTAAAATGGATACACTTATAAATCAAAGAATTCAAAATAATATTTATATACTCGATATATTTATTATACATACCTTATTGTACTTGCATTTAAAAAGAATTTAAATCTCATAATTAAAAATCAATTTTAATTAAATTCTATACAAATAGGATATTTGAAAAATAGCCTGGAAAAGGGACATTAATTTCCTTATATTAATATGGTTTCTAGCAAATGATATAAATTGATTAAAATAAATAATCATGAATGAACTCACACATTCAAAATTCATGTGTGGTATAAAGTGCCTTTTTTGTTCAAACAAATGAAAAAATTTAAGGACGGAAGAGTAGGAATGTAAGAAGTTAACAGTGACGATACACAGGCATACGATGTGGAGCGTTTTAACCCCTGGGATTTCAAAGTATGACTTCGCACAGGATCTGTCCCCACTTCCTGTTTCATGTCGAACGATTTCCCCAAGACAGGATATCCCAAAGTACTCTATGATCTCCATGCAGCCGCATTTAGTAAGACAGACAGCATCTGGACTTGGTCTGTCTTTGGTATGCCAGTTTGTCCTCGCTACGCGATCTTCGCTGTAGAGACTTTATTTCTCCCTCTTTCTTTCTCTCTCGACGTTGTATCTCCCATCTCCTTCCTGCATCTCGTGCCGACCTTTCGTTCTACGTGACTGGAATTTCATGAAAACAAAGATAAAGATCGTCATCCTAATAACTGTCTATATCTCAGTAATAGCGCGCTTAGGATCAAACGGCGATGAAAAGTTAGATAAAATGTATAAACGATTTTTTAGATCTTCCATAATGATCCGATATATCTATGGTAAAGCTCAAGAATATATTATGAGGTTTTATGTATAAAAAATTTGTTTTCTTTTTTTTTTTTTGTTTATTTTTTATATTCATATAAGACGATACTTATATTATATATGATTGTGATTATTACTTTCTTTCTAATCAAATTCGTAATAAATATTTACATTTTACAAAATTACCTCTTAATTCGATATATAGAAAACTCCAAGATTACGTATGTACGTTTTTGACTGTCCGAGGAGTAGAGATGTAGGAAAGGAAAGGAAGTACCAAAATAGATCGAATATTCTTCATAATTCTGATCAAAAAAAGCGCCTGTAGCTAGAAATACATATATCGCTATCGTACTTAAGACGAATATCCCTTTCATTTTCTACTTTCTCTTTCTCTCTTTCTCTCTCTTTCTCTCTGTCCTCTCTCGTTTCCATTAACTTTTCTTAACTACAATTTTCTTTTTTATCGTCTACTTATTTACTTTCTTATTTCTTCATATAAAAACACAAATAATAAAGAAATATATGAGGAATAACTTTAATATACTATATTCAAAAAATTTTTAATGAACTAGTATAAAACATGTGTATAAGATACACAATCGAAGCGCGGTAAAAATACTTGAGATTAATATTAAAAAGTATTATTTAAAATAATATCTCATTATGTTTTGTTTCTGCATTTGAATTTGTATAAGAATTATAATAGATATATAATACTTTTTTCCGATAAAATCAAAGTAAAAAATTTAATAAGTTTTATAGAATCGTTACTAGTAGTATTGGTTACAAGTTGTTGACTCGCTTTTCTGGGACAATATGGCGGCGTACTAGTTAATAACTTAAACGACCGCTAGTGAGCGCTCTTGTATCTCGTGTTGTAGCATGAAATGGTATAAACAGTATGCGACATTCATAAATCTTAAGTAAATCATTTGATAATATAAATGGAAGAAGTGTTTTTCCTGATATCAAGTAAAATACGACGTAAAAATGAGTGCACGAATTAGTACAAATACTGGTAATATTAATATAATTTTATTAATTGTTTTGAAAAATATGTATCTGTACATATAATCATATAGTCATGTTTTTTCTCTGCTTTTAAGAATTTTATTAATTCGTTATATTTCTCAAGTAATAGCGTGTAAAAGATCATTATAACCTCTTTTTCGTATCTTTTAAATCCAATAATTTATTCAAATATAATTTCTATATATCGTATCGACTTATATTAATTTCCAATTTTAACAAAGTATTTTTATATTTTTCGTTTTAAACTGATTTCGCGATTTGCTTACGTGGCTAACTATGTAAATTAATATTATTATATATTGTTTTAAATATTATTTATTATTAGCCTGTAATTTGTAACATTTTATGTCATTTTAGATTGTATTGTATTATTTTTACAGTAGAGTCAAGAAAAATGAATGAAGAATCTTCAACAAAACGGGCTATATTAACAGTTAGTTTGGTATTCGTTGCATCACTAACTGCTTTGTCTTATGTCTATATGAGTTTTCCAGAATTAGCAGAGTATGAAACATCTTTTGTATAATTGTCATGTTCATTAAATTAAGATAAATTTTTGTCATATTTCTTTATATTTTACAGGGAAGAAAAACAATATATGAAATTACCCTTTCATATAGAAGATGCAAAAAATCTTGGAAAATTATTAGGGAGATATAAGGATCTCTATTATTTTGAAGTACTGGCAGGACTCTTTGTTACTTATATATTGTATCCTTTGTCTTAAGTATATTTTATATTTCATTAATTCGATGAATATCTCTCATATTGTTTTCCTTACATATATGTATCAAATCAGTTTGCAAACATTTGCAATTCCTGGATCCATTTTCCTATCTATATTATCTGGATTCTTATTCCCTTTTCCTATAGCACTTTTACTAGTATGTACATGCAGTGCAGTTGGTGCAACGCTTTGTTATCTTCTGTCATCGTTATTAGGAAGAAAGTTATTATATAAATATTTCCCAGAAAAAGCTAATGAATGGACAGTGATGGTAGCTAAGCATAAAGATCATCTTTTAAATTATATGCTATTTCTTCGAATAACACCACTCCTACCTAATTGGTTCATAAATTTAGCTAGCCCTGTAATAGGAGTCCCTATAGTACCTTTCACAGTGGGCACATTTTTTGGTGTTGCACCACCATCATTTGTTGCGATACAAGCAGGACAAACATTACATAATTTAACGTCGTCTAGTGATGCATGGTCCTGGAATAGTATGATTATTTTATGTATTTTTGCATTGCTTTCTTTAGTACCTGTGTTATGCAAACAAAAACTCAAAGAAAAGTTTGAATAAATTGGTAGTGATAATTATTTATATTGTGACATTCCCCAGTGCTGCTTGCTGGAGATGCATTTTATGTTCCTATTTAGGAATATATCATGTTAATAAAGTGATTATTAAGAAATCTGTGAATAATCTAAAATTATTATTTAAGAGGATACATTTTTTATTCCTCTATATATCTGATTATTTTCAAATTATATTAGTAGATTCAATTATATTAATAGAGAAAATGTATTTTTAATCCAATGTCAATAATACATTAATTTATTATATCATATTTTTTAGTTAAATTGCATATTAATCCAAATTACAATACTTCTTTTATTTATTTTATTATTCTTTTGATAATATCTACAAATATGTCTATTTGGCATATTGGTCTGTTGTGTTTCTTAAATATGTTAAATTCTTTCTTGTAGCAATTTCTAATTTCTTATAAAATGTTTGCATGTGGCTTTTTTCATTATATTTGTATAAATTATAGTATATGTAAATAATTACTAAAAATATAAGATAAAGCATTACATATATATCAGAAGGATAAATTATTATCTGAGATAAAATAAATTGTGATGATACAAAATATAAAATTATTTATTGTATAAACTTTGGCAAAAGTATAATATTGCACATATTTATTATTTATTAATCTTAACAAAATTTATAATTCTAACAGAATGAAGTAAGATAACTTATAGAAATAGTAGTTGAATTAGAAACTGGTAGACTCATTGGACGCCAATACCACCAATTATACCATACTAAAAGAATTATAAAAATTAGTAGGTTTCCTTCTATTAAAAATAGAGCATAGATATAAAAAAGAAACATACATGTGTATCCATTTGAAAGAAGAATTGTAGAAGTTTTGCAATTTTGTTGACATTCTAAGCTTGGCATCATCTTTATTAACCTTGCTCCATCAGTAAATCTTAATATAACATTACTGCACTCAGGTCTCGGCTGAAATAAATTCATAGAATTTCTTATCTTTTTTAATCTATTATTTCATTTTAATATTAATTTAATACCAATGAATAAAGTGGAGAGTTTGCTTCATCAATAAATATAAATTTCTCTATACTTTGACCCCACCAAGTAGGAGTTTCCATAGGTTTTGGGAACAATTTCCGTATAATCCTTCCAGGTTTCATACGATTTATTCTCCATGTTATATGAGTCGTAAGAAACTCAGAAGGATAAATATCCAATCTTTTATCCATAACATCATGGATGGTGCTATGTGATAAGATCATATTTTGATCATTTATAAAATAATAATAAAATCAAACATAAATTATCAATATAACTTACCGATATGCATCATTATTAGAAAATATTCTATTAGAATCTTCTTTAAATGTATTGTTATTATACCAGTACATCTCAAATAAATCTTGCATATTAACAGCTACATTATTTTCTGCTTTTGTATAAGGAATGCCAATATTAAATGTTTTAGTTATATTGTGGTTTGTTAGATCCGGTACCGAACTCATGATACTACATGGCCAACAATCCATATCGCTAACATAAAAAAATTGATTTTCAACTAAACACCATTCATCATATAACTCTACATGGACAAAAAAAATATAAAGTAAATAATATTTTAATAATATATTTTAAATATTATATCTATTATTTATTTTTTAATACTACCTGATAACATTGGATATTTTTCAATAATTGGTAAAGCTATTTTACGCAAAATTTTTAAACCAGGATAAATAGAACTCTGCAGATTTCTCAATACCATAGTATTATAAAAAGGATGATTATATAGGCCAATGAAAATAATTAATAGTACACATATAAATGTTGTAATATATTTTAATAATTTTAAAATACTCCAAGTTTTTTTACTATATTTTATCTCAAGCATTTGAAAGCACTTGTTAAATATCTCAGTGGTTTGTGACTCTGATATATTATGTTCAAGAGCATATTGTTTGATAAGTCGTATTTGTTGTTTATATGCACTTAAATTAGCCATTTTTTTAAGCAAACAATTCAAATGTTGTAATAAATGTAAAAACGTATTAGAAATTAGAAGAAAAGGTTATGAAATCACAAGCGACAATTGTCTCATTCTATGTTACTGATTTATTAAGGGGAAACAACGTTTAAATAAACGTAACTTTCTTTTCGCTGTGTTCACTTTTAAAAATACAAATGGCATTCGTATCAAATAAATAAGAAACGTTAGATTTAAAAAATAGTTTCATTGAATATATTATTACGAATTAAATTACAAAATACGTATCGAAAGCTCAAGGTCATAGGTTAAATCATGTCACGAACATATTGTACAACTCTTTCACTTTTATCGTTTTTCGAAATTGTAAGATTGACATATTTTGGCGGGCTTAAAATCAGCCAATGAAAATTTATAATTCAAAATAATCGCAATAGTCGTAAAAAAAGTTGCGTCAATATTCAGGCGATTGTGACAAGTGATGGACATTTCCGATACTTTGAATGATCGAATTCTTGAGAAAGATCATGCTCTTTATTTCTCTTGATTCTTTGTTAAGAAGAAAATGTTATATATTTTTTAAGATTAACATGAAGGAGAATTATTGTGACATACGGTGAAATTATAATACACGAAAAAAGCTTCTATTGGTACATATATCGGCTATTTACTGTGTTAATTTAATAAGCTGTAATAATATACACGTATGCACACGAATTTGGAGGTTAGAATTCGTGCTCTCAGCATTGAACACTATGAAGACTTTCTTCGCTGAATTTGGAGTGAATGGCGAGAGTGTTTACAAGTATCAACGTTCATATCTGTTTATGGTGAATAAAAACACTGATTTATACTTTACGCGCATATCACATGCTCGAATTTCTATTTCTACTTCAAAAGTTAGTCGAACATATTTAACAACATACCGTAAGCATATAAAAAATGCATAAAGGGAAATAATAAATATTAATTACGATAAAATTAATTACGATGAAATAGATGCATTTATTATGCTTCCATACATTCATTAAATAAACATTTATCTGATATTGTATTTGTGCATTTCCTGGAATTAATACAGCATGATTATGCATTAGAATGATTAATTTTAAAATATCCTTCAAAAGAACACAATGAAAAATAAATGTAGAAATGAAAAAATATATAATTGTTAATATTAAATATTTCTTAATAAATGATCATAGTCAATAAATATAGTACAATGTATAATACATACAGTGATATCATGTAAGTTTTTTGCTATTAAATTTTACATACAAACTTTTTACATGCACTATACTTTATTAAATAATTAAACATATTTTTCAGATGTTCTTATATCTATGCGAAGTTTGTTGTAAAAATTAATATTATGTTATATTATTAGTAAATTAAAAGAGCATTATATTAATAGAGAAATTCTATGTGATGTTGTATTATCAAAGTATAATTGTATACCAATGCTCGATATAGTAAAGAATTTATTTATTATTGAACAATGTCAGTTCCCTCTTGTTCAACATATACAGACTTACATATCTCAAAAAGTAAGGAAGAAACAGTATATGCAAAGTGGGAACGATTTACTAATTGGGTGCATTGTATATGTATCGTTACTTTTGACCTTGAATTAGGTCAAGCTATAGAGGTAACTGTATAAAAAATTTAATATATCATTGTGCCTATATTGTGCCTCCTTTAATTAAAATATTTTTGAGAAATAGGCGGTTTATCCAAATCATATACAACTCTCTGAACAAGAAAGATCTAATGTATGTTACTTAGCATTTCCTGATTCTAATTCTGGTTGTATGGGAGATACTCAATATCATGTAAGAATAAGACAAAATGGAAATATGATTCAAGACACATCAGCTTTACAGGAATATAATAGAAGAACACCTTGTTTTCTACAATGTGATAAGGATTATTACTGGGGCTATGTATATTTTCGTCAAGTTAAAGACAAATCTTTACCAAGAGGATATTTCCAAAAAGTAGAAAGTTTTAAGAGAATATGCATATATTTAATTAATAAGACACACACATGCATATATATACATATATATTATTTTCAGAGTATTGTCATCATCACAAAACTGCCATTTATCAATTTATTCTGTGAATTGTGTGCTTTGATTGCACCAGAGTTTTTTGATCGTGGTGATGCAGTCATGGAAGCAGTTGTACGAGAGATAGATCGTTGGCCACTTCCTGGTCCTGGTCAAATTGTTCATTTACCTCTTATGGGTGTTTTATTTCAGGTTTGTACTATTATATAAACATTTAATCAAAACTTTTTTATATCTATAAATAATTTATTTTTTTATGTAATAGTAGCTATATTACATTTTATTGATTTTAGACATACATTCCAAATCAAAATTATAAGGCTGCTGTACCATGTATTGCAGCAATGGATCATGCACCAAACGTGCATGCAACGCGAAGATTAATTTTAACATCTGCATACGAAAGTGATATGTTCAAAACTTTAGCTAGTGTAGTGAGTCATATACATTTATTGTGGGAGTTAGTATTACTTAGTGAACCTATTGTAGTAATGGCTTCCTCACCAACTACATGTTCAGAGATGGTTCAAGCACTTATTGCGTAAGTACATATGTAAAATCTCATGATCATTGTGGAAAAATTAGGAATTACTAATGATCTGTTTTATTAGTATGATAACACCATTGAAATACTGTGCTGATCATCGTCCATATTTTACGATTCATGATTCTGAATTTAAAGAATATACTACGGATGCTCCTATTCCACCTGCTGTAATACTAGGTGTCACGAATCCATTTTTCGCCAAAACTTTACAACATTGGCCTCACATCATTAGGATAAGTAATGGTGGAACTAGTGGTAAGTTTTCAACAGATGAAAATAAAGAAAATATACGTGTATGTGTGTACATTATTTATATATTTCAGAAACTCAAAAATATAGAATAAAAAAATCAGAGAATCTCAAGGTATTAGATTCAAAGCCAGGTGTTTATACACAATACAAATCTTTTCTGCAAAAAGATAAAACAATATTAAAAAAGCTTTTGAGAGGTATTCAAACAAAAAGACCGGGTGAAGCACAAACAGCTCTTTTGAAACGTCACTTAATGGAATTGACTGAAAGTTTTATGATTCCTTTAGAAAGATATATTGCAAGTCTTATGCCTTTACAAAAGGACATATCACCCTTCAAAGTAATAATATTTCAATTCATATAAAAATCTTTGACTGATTAAAATAAATAAATTAATAAAAAAAATTATTTATCTTAGGCGACTCCAATACCACAATTATTTAATCAGGATGACTTTTTAGCTACGTTAAGTAGTTTGGGACCTCAATTAACTACAGGTATAAAAGGAGATTGGGTGGGATTATACAAACGATTTTTTAGATCACCTAATTTTTCGGGTTGGTTTCATGCCAGATATACAGAACTAGCTCAAAAATTACAAGTGATACAATTGGAAGCATTATCGCAAGCTGTATGTATTATTGTTATTCTAGTAAAAATTGCTAGCTTGCACATTTATTGAATTCTATTAATGTGTAGGACTTGAAAACATGGGTACGAGGAAAGCAAGAAGTAGAAGTTGTGGATATGATCCTTAAAATTCGACAAAAATTGGAGAAAAGTTGTATTAATGATATATCCATTGATGATACAATCAGAAAAAAACTTCAAGAAAGAATAAATGACATTACGCATACATTGCCAGATGATTTACAAGTTATTTTAAGCCACAAGTCTTGACAATACGATTATATTATTAATTTTAAAACTCGTTAGTAATTCTATTTACTGCTATTAGTTGAATTGGGAACCAACATCATATGCCAATGTCGGTGTAAATGCATAAACAAAATTAAGCTTCCAATAAAACACGAAGCTTCTAGATTTTTAAACATTAATGACTATGATATAAAGAAATAACGTGAATCATATACATATGAAAGATATAAAAGATGTAAATTTAAATGCTGACTGAACTTGCGCTAGAATTTTAGAAAGGTTTTAGTTATGCTTTATTTCTTTAATGTAAGTGTGTATATATATATATATATATATATAATACTCTTATTATATATATAATAATCTTATTATATATATATATATAATACTCTTATTATATATATAATAATCTTATTATATATATATATATAATACTCTTTGAAAATATTTATAAAAAATGAATTATATATTATCTAGTTTATGAATAAGATAAGAAAAGAACTGTCTTTAAAATGTTTAAAACTTTTTAAGTAACTTCCATTTACACATATAATATTTTTTAATCCATATTATTTTTTATATATATTATTCATGAAATCTTCTTTTAATTGGAAAAATTCGTGTTTCTTTAATCTTTGAAATTTGTAAAGTCATTATTCATCCTTGTTTTATTCCTTACAATATTAAAAATCTTGCATTCAAATTTGATATTATATACTCATACCCGCGTGCCGGATTTTATTTTATTTTACATTTAAAATACTCTATTAAAATATTAAGAATCTCTCCAAATAAATGTGTAACGTGAATTCAAAATTCACTTTATTATAATTGAAAAAAAAAAAGATTTATTGAACATGTGGATTTGAGAAAAGAATTGTAAATATTAATGAATATTAAGAATGGAATAAAAATTTATTTTAATAATATTCTACTTTATTATTATACAGGATTTAATAGAGATGACAATTCTTATATAAGAGCAGTATATTTTTTCATATATCAAATTTGGCGTCACGTAGAGTCGTAAAATATAAAAAAAATTTGATATTCTCCTTAGAGTAACACTGTATTCGGATTGTAGTATATTTGAAAACGTACATTAAAACACTTATTAATTTTACACAACTAACAAGCATGAAATGAAAAATAAATATTTTGATTTTATTTGCTTTACAGATACACATACTACTGTACATATTACATGATCTAGGAATAGAATGTACAATTGCTATATATATATGTTTGTGTGTCATACATAAAATTAAAATTTGTTAGTTTATTCAGCGAGTTTGGTATGTTTATTCAGTTTTTTTGTTTCAATTATGCATTGCTTGTTTAACTCGTGTATATTGATCATTGTATTATGATCATTGTATATTGATCATTTGTACGAAAAAATTTAAAATATTTTAATGGTTAA